GGAACTTTGCATACAATTACTTCATACGTTGAGCCACGTTGTCTTGGAAGTTCGATTGTTTCAGCTTTATAGTTCAAAAAAAGGAACAGCTTTTGAAAATTCAAAATTTTAAATTTTTGACCTTGACCTTTTTTGACCCTGATTTTTGTAGGATTAAAGGTCATTCACATTGGCTATCTATTTATACTTTTATATTTGCTATCCTTTCTCAACTTCCGGTTTTATAGCCGTATATATTTAAAAATTTTGATGACTTTTATCTCGTAACCTTGACCTTTGTTGACCGTCTCCCTTTCAATGTCAAATGTCATTGACCTTGGCTATCTTCTGATACTTTCATTTGTGCGGTCTGTCTACTTCCGTTATAACAATCTTCCAAAGAATTCTTCTCAACTTTAGACTGCTCTTGCGCGTGATGTAATTATCGTAGAAGGTTGATTTTTGCAGAGTCTTTTGCAATTTGCTACATTTGCAAAGTCCCACTCTGTGCCACGTGTGGCTCTAGTCTATATTTTAATCTCAACTTACCTTTACAACACGTAATCTATATTGTAATCTTAACTTACCTGTACAACACGTAATCTATATTGTAATCTCAACTTACCTGTACAACACGTAATCTATATTGTAATCTCAACTTACCTGTACAACACGTAATTTATATTGAAATCTTAACTTACCTGTACAACACGTAATCTATATTGTAATCTCAACTTACCTGTACAACACATAATTTATATTGTAATCTCAACTTACCTGTACAACACGTAATCTATATTGTAATCTTAACTTACCTGTACAACATATAATTTATATTGTAATCTTAACTTATCTGTACAACACGTAATCTATATTGTAATCTTAACTTACCTGTACAACACATAATTTATATTGTAATCTTAAATTACCTGTACAACACGTTATCTATATTGTAATCTCAACTTACCTGTACAACACGTAATCTATATTGTAATCTTAATTTATCCACAACTTGATTACTGATATTACCAAACTTTCTATAGCTATCTTCTATAAGATCTGTCACATCTACTGATGGCTAAAATCAAATAATCATCAAAACTGAATTTCATGGGGGATGGATCAAAAGGGGTTAATCTCCAAATAAATATCACTCATATCTTAATGGAATTCAAAACCAATTTGCCAGTCAAGTCATTAGAGGGGCAGGATATTCTAATTCTTTTGAAACACCTGATGTGATTCTGATTTTTTTACCATATTCTTTCTATAGGCTCTTAAAGACTCAAACTATGTAAGTTTCCAGGATAGCCATCAATGCCCTACTCACTTATCCTTCAGAGATCTAATTTTGGACAGGTTCATAAAACCTATGTCTGCCTTTCACATACCCTTGCATCTCATCATCCACATATTCAAATAGACTTCCCTTGGATCATAATAATATAAGATCTGAGGTGAGTGTCACTTACATTTACATCACCTGATTTCGACATGGCTGAAGAATGTTTAACTGTGGGTATAGTGGAATCTTTATTAGTAACATTCTCTAGGTATTGACAGAGTATAGTCATAGCTTCACCATCTTCTCCACAATTTAATAACTCATCACTCTTCTGGTTTAATATTGCTAGAGCTACTTGGAAGATCACCTGAAAATATAGAAATATATGAGCAGCTCCAATAACTTGTATTTTTATGATGAGATTCTTGGTACATTTTTTAAGCCTGTGATCTATATCAGGAAGAAGACAAGATTTGTCAATTGCAATGATTTCATTCTCTTGTAAAACAATTTGGGATCAAAATAAAATCAATTGCATTTTCATCACAAAAGTACCAAATATTGCATCTATACTGGAAGATTAGATTGTCATATGCAGTGAGATTAGATTTGATTCCTGTGCTAAGATGTTAAAATTTCTGATGAAAAGCCAAACCTATCCCACCATCTCTCTGATGAACTGCTTGCACTTTTGTGGTTAAAGTGTTTTACCTCCATCCCTTCCAATCTTTATTCAATATGAAACAAGAAATACATAACTCAAATATCTTGTATCAATGAATGATATTTACCTTTGCACCATCATAGAAGAAACAATCCAATATATTGATAGCTGAACCAAATGGCATTACACTGAAATATAAATAAATTACATTTGCCAACAGACATGGGAAATACTATTTAATTTCGAAGGATCTTGTTTGCCAGCTTATCCTTTGCTAAAAACACCTTGACAGTCTTAATTTTTTGGGACTATATAATATAAAATGGGCATAGCCTCTCCCAATCAAAATGTACCCATTTGCAGCAGATCGAAAGAATATTGAAGGCAAATGACTGTCACAAGTCAACTGTGAAAATGTGTAAGAGAACGCTTACCTTAAGAAAATAGTAAGAAACCATGATAGAGATATCATACTTAATAAACCTAATGTTTCTAGTTTATCATGCATACTAGGTAGATAATTCCTAATCAAATCTTCAAATACACCTATAATATACCAGACCATAACATCAAAACACGAGAACATATTTCAGATCAAGCTTGTCACGTCATAAGATTATGATATGAATACTTGAAGTATTTGAATATCAATCCAAAGTGAGTGAAGAAGGTTACAAACTATTCAAAATGACTAAATATTTATCTTGCTTCTTTGATATATTATAATATACAACTGTTAAACAACATGTCTGTGATACTTTTTTGTGTACAATTGTAACTGTGTGAACTCTATGAGTGAAGAATACTTACTCTGATCAATGAATGCTCCTACAACTTTAGTATTAAAATAATTTGGTAACAACTAAAACCTTGTGAACTCTATAGAGCAGAATACTTACTCTGATCAATGAGTGCTCCAACAACTTTAGTATTATAATAATCTGGCAGTAAGCGTTCACAGATAGCTGTTAATAACCAGAATGCCTCCTCTTCACTGGTATATAACAATAAAACACTAGTCACTATATTCATAGCTTGACAATAACCTGCAAATAATTTTATATTTTCAGATACAAATCATATCAAAAGTCATATCAGACCAAATACTGCCACTAAGTCTTGTTTTTGCAAATATATACTCCAGTGGGATTCATAACAGAAGGTAAAAAAAAGTCAAACTGATTCATATTATTGCATTCAATTCATGCAGTCACAATACCTTTGAAACATAGAAATCTACTTAAAGCTATCATGTTCTAATGAAGTAAATTACAATAAAAAAATCTATTTGCCATGGTAATAGCAATTACTTAGATCAGAAACAAATAAATTTTTTTCAAAAGTAAACAATTCCAACTTGACAGATATCTCAACATTCTATATTTCAAAGGTTTACATACATAAACTATCGTAGAAAAATTTGTAAGACCATGATAGCTTGAATGAATCAAAAGCTGTGTTACCTATATTAGGATTTCTCCATGCATAAGCTGTTAATACTCGTCTTAAAGCATCAATACCAAGAGCATTCTGAAAGGCTGGATGTTCTGGTAATGACCTGAAATAGTATAAGATTTAAAAAATAATGTCTTTATGTTACATATATACCATAATATATCCAGAGCTGATTTAGATATATTTTACAGTAATGTATGACTCAAGTTTTTAAAATATCTGACTGCAATACATTTTAAAACTAAAATGAATCTCATGTGATGTCTTTTTATCATTAGTGCAATTAAACAGTGCAAAAATCAGCCTCAAATCTTCATCTGATGTGAAAATTTTAATGCATCATCCCCATCAATAATGGTTGTTGGTATTTTACTTAGGTTGTGATTTTTCAGTGTCTTAATTAGGTATGAATCAAATTAAATTAGGAACAATGAATAAAACTAGTCTATTTTACCTGTGTAAATCTCGTTCAATCTCTTCAGTAGCTAATGAAGATTTACCACAACTTAGTTGTACAATATTAGCATAATATCCATCATTAGCTGCCATCTTAACATATAAAATAAATATTATCAATGAATAAAAATATGCAATTTTTTTCGGCTTATCTGGTCTCAAAAATTTTTCAGTATCAACCCTTAAAGTAGCACTTCCCCAGCCATTCCATCAACCATACAGTGAAAGTTTGAGATATATTTGCAGGGATTTTTGTTCAATTCTATTGATTCTGAAGACTATCTATTCAAGGCCCAAATCAACTATGTCAAGACTAAGTCAAAACAATATTTTTTCAGAAATTACATGTACCTCATTAACAGCACCAGAGAATACCATCCACATACCACCTCTATATTTATCAGGTATACCTTTTAATACTAGTTCTTGTGTACGGTGAGTTCGGTACATACACATACCTCTATAAATAATTAAATATATAAATTATTAAAAAAAAAAGGAAAAAAAAAAGAACTAATTTCTATCATTATTGCTGAAAACACTAATTAAACACTAAACTTATTTGGAATGATGGACACAACTAATCACTTACATCAATATATGATTTCTATCCTTAAAATATGTTCATAATTACATAATTTAAATTCAGAAACAACAACGCCAAGAGGTTTGGTAAAGGATCTGCTAGTGGAAAGGATCCTTCTTGACCTAAGTTGTTATCCTTGTTAAAAAATGGTTAGTTGATTGTTTGTTTCTCTATTTGCATGCCTAATAACCAAAAAATTTGTCTTTTCTTCAAAATTGAGATTAAGCTTGGCGATACTGTCAACTCTTATAAAATCACAAAGTCCTTACTTTCCATATTCAGCAAAATGAACATCCCATAAATGTGTTTTAACAGTTTCTTTAGGAGATAACTCATCTGACTCTCTTCGACAAAATAAACTAATTAATGCTGGTTGAAATTTCACTGGTTCTTCTCCTTCTTCACTTTGACTTCTGCTTCTAATAACAGAATAAATTTATCTTAATTTCAATAATGTCAAACTATTACGAACTGCATATAATACTTTGACTGCAATAGCAACATTTCTTGTCCCACAAAAGTTTGTATAGACAGCGATTTGGTTGTATGTACAGTATCAACACAGAAAGTACGTAAACAATTTGGCTGCACTTATAATTAGGGCTAAGATTGGCTGTTGCAGTCAAGGTATTAGGCAGAGTTTGTAATAGCTTGACACATGAAGATAAACATAAATATTTTTGAGGAATAGCAGTGCCAGTATATTTGTATAACATCTAGACCAGTGCTTTCATTAAGACACTACTAACCTTTTTGGTTCTGGTTGTCTTGATAAATAATCAGAGATTCTCTCTAATATAAAATCTCTATCACTAAACTGAGCAAAGGTAAAACTCATCTACAAACAACAATGAAAGTGAATAGAAAGAAATCAACTACTAGGAAAGCATACAACATCTAATTGGTGGAATATCTAAGCAATATTAATTTAAATATAGTTGGTAACTATACTGTTTAATTCATAGACATAGTTTTATAGAACAATAATCACTGGTTAAAATTGCATACAATGCTTTGACCTGTTTCTCCTGTCAAACTCAGGCACATCTGACAGTTAATGTTTTGCTGGCATTTTGTGTGCATCTGGAACACTAACTTATGACTTCCATCTTCATTATTCTTCTTATTTTTCTCAAAATTCAGTAAAAAGTTGTGGTAATACATCTTAATAAATAACTCACCTTGCCTTTAGTTGTAACTAACAATGCTTTAGAGATCAGGTTACCAGATACAGAGTTATCTACCTTCTCTACAACTTGTATATCACGTAATGGTATAATAACAGTTACTAAATCACGTACCTAAATTACATTAAATCAGTTGGCTACAAATTTTGTATTTGGACAAAATACACTGTTTGACACCTCACATATCTCACAGGTTGAAAATTTTACACCAGAAATTAGTTTGTGCAAAAATGAGTTTATCATGAAAACAAAAAAATTCAGTTATGAATCATCTAAGAACTATCTAGAGCAAGTTGTTTTCAAATTTACTTAATTCTAACACAAAATCGAATCAATGTAATTCCTACAATGTTGAACTGAGGTTTTTGTGGAAATTGGCCTAAAATAATAGAATTCTGAAATAAAAACTCACCCTACTGGCAAAACATATAAAATTAGAAGAGAGGTATAGTCTACCAGAAACATGTTGTTTATTATAGGGTGTCCATAGAGTACATTCTTCATCACCATCTAGTTTCTCTTGTACAGGTAACTGAAATGCTTGTCTATAAGAAAAATTGGAGTAATATTCACATGATCATGCTTTTTTGTTAAACAGTAACAATACTTGCCATTCTGCTACCAGGTCTTCGTAATTTCTATCAAGGTGCAATTTTAAACTGAACAGTCCTTTAGCTGTCAGTGTTTATAATAAAACTAATTCTAAGGAGAGATGGGAAGAGTCTAAACTTGAATGTAAGATATCGGCATAAAAGGTCTAAGGCCTAATATTACTGATCACTTACCTGAAAGCTTCACTTCTAGCTCTCGCATCCAGGTCACGTTTTAAGGAAGACATTTTCTTGGAAGTTTTCTTTCTAAAAAAATAGCAAGAACATTAATATGAAAAAGTTTGTATAAAAGTCTATTTCTTCAGACACCCAATTCACTGAATTTCACTCGCATATACTATTATATATACATATCAATTTATTGTCCAAATTCAACTTACTTTGTCCTGAATGAGATGAGTTTATCTTCTTCAAAACCGCCTTCTTGCATCAATCTATGAATTAGAAAATTCAGCTTTCAAGATGACATAGCTGAGTTGACAAACAAATTCATTCTTTTGTTATACTTTGATACTAAAACAGTTGTCTTGGTGTTTGTTACATTCATTATGATCAAATCATTATGTAGACAATAATCAGAAAAACCTATTTAGACCATTCAGCCCTCGAAAGAGCAGAAGAAAATTGATCATCTAGAGGTGTAATTGATCTGTATTGTGGAATGTTGAAAAAATAACGTACTGTTTCATTGCCATATTAGCTAACTGTTCAATCAATCTATAGCTTTCTGCACTGTGCATAATCATTGAAAAATAATACTGAAATAGAATTGATACATTACAATTGAAAAAATGCTATTATTTCCATATTCACTGTACAAAGAATCTTAAATGCAAGAAAATATCTACCTCATTCAGCTACTGCAAAACAATGTCGGATTAGCGAGAGTGTCTGAGTACTCAGAGTTTCGACATTTTTTAACATGTTCCACGTGTTACTATTCATAACTCAGTGACTCACATTCTACATACGGTACCTTTCTAATAATAAGACAATAATAAAAGACAATTCAGTTCATATTTTGAGCTACTGTACATACACTTTTTATTGGAATTAATATTGTCGGCAAACTTTTTTAAAAATTCTTCTTTGCGTTTTAAAATGCTGCTTATTGTTGTTCGACTGAACCAAATTTCATAGCTAAATATTTCTGCGAAGACGACAACTCTTGTTCTACCAGTTGCTCAGACTTGATATATGAATGTGATTTAGTCACAATTATATACTTGATAATAATAATAATTAATAATAATACTTACAGAAGCTTCTCTAGTAGTTATTTTAACTGTATCAGGAAAAAACATGTTGTTACCTCTCTCTAGTTTCTGTAATTATAAAAAATAATCATGACGCTGAAGTTCCTGAAACTTTGTATGTCATTTAATCTGATTTTCACATTCCAGTTTTTATATTAGCTTTGTGATGTCAACAAATCTTACACATGCATGACAATCTTGTCATTAATTCTAAAAATCATATATTTAATATAAAATTCCTTAAAAAACAACAATAATTCTTGGTACTTTTTGAAAGATACAGACAATAGTATTGCTACATTTCCTAGACATTCACAATAACATTGTTTACAAATTTGATAGAATTTTCATAACATAAAATCTTACTGTAATGTCTGTCCACCGTAATATAACTTTATCTTCCTTGCCCATCAAAAATGAATAGAAACACAGATGGTTGATACTAAGATACATCCAGCCTTGTCTAGGCAGTTTACCTTTCCAATAACTACATGAATAATCTACAACATAAATTAGTACAATTTTTTTAAAGTCCTTCATCTATTTTAAAAAGATTAAATTGCAATCAGTTTGACCAATAAAACTTCAGCCTCAGAACCGTAAATTTTTTAGCTAAACTTAACAGTAATAGCGTTCACTTTTCTTCGCCGACATTTGAGCCTTCAAACCAATGTGCGTCCAGAAATATCAGTATTTGAAAATTAAAATGGTGAGTCATCTTTTCATGAACTGTGCCAGTTTGAAATATATTTGAAGGGATCATGCCTTTTTCGTGCAGTTCTATTGATCATCTTATGACATTAAGTACTCTACGATTTGGCAATACCAGATTATGTTTTGTAATTTGATATTTGTTCTTTCTAAAACTTACAATTAACAAGTTTTTCCTCTATTGGCATGTTAAATAACTTTCTAAATTTCTTAGTAGCTGTCACAAATCTCTGAGTCTCATCATCTGAAGATAAAAACATGAAAATAACATGTTGTTACATAGTTTATTTTAAGCAAGTGTGGGTTGATCCTAATTGACAATTATGCCAAATTGTTGATTTTTATTATCAATAGTGGCAAATTTTCCAGATTTTCTCAAGGGTAAAAAGTGGTGCCCATTGTATTCATGATTGTATGATAGTTAAAAAGTTCATGGTTCCTAAACATGTCTTTTTCTTAAGATAGTCATTCAACATGCAAAAACTTAATGTAACTTAGTTTGATAAAATGCATAATGGCATACCTTCTGTAGGTTTAACATTATTAGCCAATAAACTTTCTATTTTACATCTTATAAACTCTGTGGCTTCGTCATCTGTTTCAAATGTAGCTAAAATATAAATAAACTGATAATAATCTTGAAGTAAACATAGACTATGGCATATGAATGGCTTTTACTGGGAAAGTAACAAAAGTAAACATTGACCAAACCTTTTTCATACAAAAATGCATAATTCCAGGGACCAATTAGTTTAGTAATATAGAATAAATTGTACCTAATGTTTGCATCAGATTTTGTTCTATCCATTCCCAATCTTTATGAATTTCTTTCTTATTATTAGCCACAGAGACATCTGAAATACAAAGACATAATATAATATATATAAAATAATAAAAATAAACCAAATTAAATATTAACAAGTTGGTGTAGTGTACAATAGCAATGTGACAATAGCAGATATTATAGATACAGAACTATTTAGACTGAATAACAACAATTGATTATCTCCATTATTTTACCCAATTTGATATGATACTTACAATAACTGAGTTCTGAACCAATTGTTTGTAGCAATATTCTATATGGTGGTGTCTGTAAAGAAAACAGTGATTTCACTGAAAGATGGGGCTTGAATGATCTAGAGCACTGGTTCCAATATAGGTACTAGTACCCCCAGGAACAAAAATTCATTATCTTTGATTGAGCTATTGACAGCAACTCATCTTACTATTTAATGAAATTAAATCTTAGCTACTTATCAAGAATTGTTAGGAGATAAAAATGTGAACTATGCATAGATTCTAGGATGTGTGAATTAACCCATTGACTGTGCTAAATTTTCATGGTTTTTAACTACTGACAGTAACTATATTATTTTATATGATTTGTTATTGTTATTTTCTCTAACTGTTAAATCGAGTCAATATTTTACTATTCATGAAATTACTGCTATTACTGTTGGAAGTGTATCAAACATACTAAAGAATGTATTTCCAAATTGAAGATTGCATTAAAAAATGAACCTTATTATCAAGAACAGTGTCAATGGTACCAACTAATAACCCTGCTAATCCTCCACCTCCATAGCCTTTTCTCTTCTGTAGAACAAAATATGGATTTGCTCTTTCATTCACCCTACAAAAAAATCAATTACCAATTATCTAGTGTAGTAAATGTAACTTTTCTTACTTTAACAATCTTAATTCAATCTTAGTAAATCAAGTGGTCAAGTGATCATATAAGTGTCAAGGCAGAAACATAGATGATTTGACAGTGAGTGAAATCAAGAGTCCCATCATTAATGGTGTTAATAATCTTTAAAGCCATAGGAAGACTTAAAAATTATTCTAAACATGTATACTCTATTGTACCCTATATATTAGTCTTCAAGTTTTGCCTTGGACTAGAATTCCACTTTTTTGCCCAAGAACATGTCCATCTCAATTAATCAGTAGATGACAACCATTTCAATGCTTGCTGGTACATATGTATGTATGATAATTAACAATTTCATCTACTCAGCTTCCTTCACCAGGCAGGCGACAAAAGTCAAATCATATTCTAAAGAGGAGTTTAGACTAATCCACAACGAAATCGGGTCAAGTTTGTTGTTGTTTGTAACTGTAAGTTATGTTCATCATAAATTTAGTGGTATTATTAAGGTGCCTTACCAAAGAGCATTAGCAAGAAGCACCTCATCTGGCTTCACCCACATAATGTGATCTCTCTTTTATACAATCACTTCCGTGAAATCGATGGCATAGCAGTTCAATGATTAAGAAGAAATTTTTATGAAAGTTTAGAAAACATAAAATTTTGTCAACAAAATAATTCTACTTCCGTCAGCTGATCACATGATTTCTTTAAAGTCACATGACATTTCTGGATTTAAATTTGGAAAATAATGTATTCCATGATAAAAGAAAAGAAAAAGCTCCTTTGAAAATCATGGCTACATCTTATCGACTTGATTAATTTCTCTGAATAACTTCTCTTTAGGTTAATGGAAAATGTAAAAAAAAAAAATAGCAGACGAATTTTATGTCAGGGTAATCGAGTAAAAAGTTTCAGTTAATCGAGTCTTCAAAGTTTTCTGGGATACGAAAACCTTGCTTCCGGTCTTTTCAACAATCCGCCATCATGGGTCGTATGCACAATTTCGGGTTGGTAAAAGATAGACATTTATGTTTTAATTATCAAAATATAACACATTTAATACCGAGAAATCGTTCATTATTTATGTCCCCAAACAAAACATTTAATACTGGCGTTCTACCGAAGATATTTGAGCAAATACACGTACGTGAAAATCCAAGAAAGTAAACACGTGTGTTGTGTGGTGAACTATACAATAATATAACTCATGAATGGCCTATGTCATAATGTCAATGACTGAAGAAACTTACGACTGCACCAGCTATATTGTTAGACTTTGCATCATTGCATAGACATGACAATTATCAACTTCTTTTCATGTGATCATGTACATGATGGGTTGAACATAAATATTACTTGATCAAGCTGACAACTTTTGACTGAACTGAATAGTGAATTGGAATTGAGTGATAATATGAATGAAGGCATGGCCTTGAATGAGAGCGCAGGTTATTGATAAAATAACAATAATTAAAATCAAATAAACGAAATTCAACCTGATCTGTATGTAATGCAAACTAGTTTGTCTTCTAATCATATGTGTGAAGGCAATCTTCTATGAATATAAGATCAGTAGTCACTGTAGACAATCTTTTATAAGGTATCTAGAGAAATTTCTATAAGGTGTGAAAGTAATCATCTATAACGATGACGTCATAACGTGACGTATGATGTCAACAAAGCCGCCATCATTGCTTGGGAGAAAGTCTTGGGAAAATAGGTCAAAGCTATCATTTTATTCCTAATGACGCATAGAATATCCAGGAAAAATAAAAATAAAACGTAAGGGTTGTTAAGTTGGTACAAAACATCCCTTTCTGTGTGTGAAACAATTGTTGTAATTTATTTAAAAAATTCCAGAATATTCACTCCGAAACTAACCCGATTGACTGCTATCTAGTTGTCAACAAACATGGGGGCCCCCATGATCCGCCATCTTTTTTTGGCTACCCGTGGGGCATAAATTTTCTGAAACGAATTGATGTATATGTATGTGTTATCATTATAGAGGGCTTTGTCGAGAGAGCTGCGCTCTCATATGAATTAAACTGATTAAGATAAAACTCCTATCCAATTTTGAAAATAAGGAAGAGATGAAAGTTGCGCAAAATCATGGTCTGAGTAGTTTCATTATGTGTCAAAGTCCTCTAGTTATGGTTCCAGATAAGAAAAGCTTTATCTATCATCCGATCTAGCTCAAGTTATCAGACTCTGCTCTTTGGCTTCATTGATGTTTGGGGAGTCTTATGACAGTGTCTTAAATCTTGAAGATGAGATGAGTCCTTTAACTATCTTTTAGAAGCAGCCATTTGATTATTAATTAAAGATTTTTATTTCAGAAAAGGTATTTCCAAATCAGCATTACCCTACAGACGTACTGTACCAACAGTAAGTTGAATATTTATATCAAGTTACAGTTTCATCAATAAGTTGAAATTGTATCATTATGACCTTTTATGAGTATTGGTCTCTTAAAATGAAGATTTAGAAACACATACAATTTTATTTTAACATTATAGCACAGTTGGTGTTAGGTGAAATATTTTCCTATTAAAGGTAGCTCTATAATGTAGACTTTAATGTGATGATTTCAAAGCTAATTCTTGAATTATTTATTTTTGTAGTGGTTAAAGTTATCTGCTGAAGATGTACAGGAGCAGATTTACAAGCTTGCTAAGAAAGGCTTGACTCCATCCCAAATTGGTATGTGTATAATACAGCATATCCATAGACTTGAGCAAATAACATTTGTTATACTGTGTATATTCTTAAATCAAGGGAAGCTAGCTCTTGGCAGGATTTTTGAAGAAGTGTGAAAAATTATGTGTATTTGGTCTCAAGAATAACGATCCTTGCTAAGAAGACAGCTGTCTATTCCGACTTTACCAGCTGATTTAGCTCAAATTGTATCTCCTGCATTCCAGCTGAAACTGTAAAATTAGGTATCACATGACTCTGTGACCTTTGAACTTTTGGCTGTGCACTCAGTTTTAAATGGTTGATGCTAAATCTTTTTTGCAAAAAAAACTTTTAATTGAAGAGAAAATGATGGTATGATTGAACTACAAAAACATAAATCTTTCCAAATATACCTAGGCTTTGCAGAGCCAAGGTATCTAAATAGGTTTAAAACCCCCTCACCTGCAGAGATGAGGAATGTCCCCATTTAACAGGGCTTACTATTTCTGTCTCTACACCAGCTGACATCTGTCCAAATAGCTATCAGAGGCTAGAATAGAGACAGATGTTTTGGTCTATGGTCATAACTGCCTGGAAGTAACAATTGTTTGACTTCTAGGGTATTTCAATGATGAATTTCAGAAGAACATGACAAGGTGTTTTAATTGTCAAGTGCTGCCGGTCAATAAACAGGAGCTCTTTCAACTTGAGAAGCAAATACTAAAGACCCCAAAAGTTTTTTTTATTAATAATGAGATAACCCATGAAGTTTTATATTATCTGAAATATTTGTAGGTGTTATCTTACGAGATTCTCATGGAGTAGCTCAAGTTAGATATGTTACTGGAAACAAAATTTTGAGAATCCTGAAATCTAAAGGATTAGCCCCAGATATTCCAGAAGATCTTTACCATTTGATTAAGAGAGCTGTAGTTATCCGTAAACATTTGGAAAAGAGCAGAAAGGTAATTGTTACAGATTTAGTATTTAATATATTGCAAGCTTTTGTGTTCAGTTATGATTTGGTCTGTGTTCAGAAGCTATTAGGGAACAGAAAAGGAGGACTTAACACTTATTTTTAATGACTTTTAAAATTTACGGATACTTTATTAAATCAAAATTATGCCCCAAAAGATTGGAATTACACGTACTGGTTTTTTTTTTTAGGACAAGAATGCCAAGTTTAGGATGATTTTGATTGAAAGTAGAATTCATCGATTATCCCGATATTACAAGACAAAGCGAGTTCTACCACCTAACTGGAAATAGTAAGTACCCTCTGAATTTAGGAATTTGACAGTCTAATAGAAGTATAATTTCAAAACTGATATTTTTTTAGGAGGAATAGCCTGTAAGAATTGTGAACATTTTGGTGTGGTTAGCCAGTTTAGTGCAGGGAATGTTAATTAAGATCAGTTCAAAATGCCTACTTAGTTGTTTCTTGTTTAAAGCTCAGTAAACGTTTTAGCTAACCCTATAAATGAGTCTCTCAAGGTCAATTTCCTCTTCAGTCTTTTTCACTTTGGAATAAAATCAAAGTCAGTCTAGCAGAAATCATATAATTTAACTTAAAAATTATTTTTTCTTTTTCAGTGAATCAGCAACAGCCTCTGCTTTGGTAGCATAAACATGTAAAAAAAAATATTGCTGTAATAAAAAAAAATATTGAAAAAGTATTTTACTTTTAATTATGCCCTGCAATGCCCTGCATATGAAATTATCGGGAATATGATTGAGTGAAACATTACAGTGCTCTGTAGTTCTCATAATACTAAGTTTTCCAATGAAATGTTGAGTGTATGCCAATTACATTCAGTTACCTTCATGGGGCTTTTCTTAATTTTAATATTGTACCATAGTATCAGTAATAGAATTCACAAAATTCTGTCAAAATTGGAGCTTATCCATTTCTGTCTATATTTTTTCTGCATTTGAAAGTTACATGGAAGATTTATCCTTTTGGCAAACGGGTCTGCTGTGACCTTTTTGGAACACTGAAAGTATTTTTAATGGAATTGCAGATGTCAGATTGAAAATTGGAATGGTCCCCAATACACATACAAATTTTAGAAAACTTCTTTACAATCCCTTTCAGGACATTAAATCCTGTCATTATGAACAAAAAAACAATGACCTGTTTCTTTTGACGAAAACCTTATGTCAGTAACCTATGAAATATAGTAGCCGCAAAGTGCACTTATCATTCCGGGTGGAAGCCAGCGGAAGATTAAGTGAATTTTTATTGACTTTAGCAGGGTTGGGATTCGTCCTCATTACAAGTAAGTTGTAAGTGGTAGAGCATTGATCTAAGTTGATCTACTGACATGTTGGCAAAGATTATAGGATTGTTCCATACGCATAGATTAAGAAACTTATATTTCATTTCTCGGTCGGTGGTCTACGAAAACGCTCACTAAAAAATTGCCCTAGAAGCAGAATTTCATAGAACGTCTTGTGTTTATTATAATAATTATGTAGACACACGAATCAATATCTCAGAAATGTTCGGATAAACACATGAAAACGTCAATTGCTATGTTAATCTTTCAAAGTTTATACGGAATAAGCACTCAAAGTTGCTCCAGCGTATAGAGCCTCCTGTTTGAACTTGCATTATTGGCTGCATACTACTTGAACGCAAACCAAATCAGCTGAAATAAACGATTTAGTTGATTTTTGTTTTAGATCATGAGTACGAAGGAAGTCAAATTGTACAGTTCATGGTTCTGTCCTTTTGCTCAGCGTGCATGGATAGCTTTGTTGGAAAAGAAGGTGAACTTTCAGTACATGGAAATTGATCCATACAATAAAACCAAGGAATTTCTCTCTATCAATCCTCGAGGATTAGTCCCCGTGATTGTGAACAATGGCAAGTGTGTCTATGAATCATCCATCTGTATAGAGTATGTTGACGAAGCTTGGAGGAACCAAGACACTGATTTAATGCCTTCAGATCCGTATGAAAGAGCTCGTTTGCGCATTTGGTCAGATTTCATTAGTCGTAAAATTATACCTGCGTTTTACCAATATCTGATGCGTCAATCTCTCCTGAATCATCTAGAGACCCTAACCTCTGAGATGTCTGACAGCGGTCCCTTCTTTCAAAGCTCTCTGTTTGGCTTGGTCGACATAATGCTGGTGCCTTTCACGATCCGTTTTGATATGCTGAAACATTTTCGGGGTTTTGAACTGCCAGAAACGCAAATTTTCCAGAGACTAAGAAGGTGGATGGAAGCAGCACATTCAAGAGAAACTGTAAAAGCCACAATGGCCGATGGAAAGAAATTGATTGACAAATACCAGCGATATGCTGACGATTCTGTCAAATCTGAAGTAGCTGATGCAATAAGAAAAGGAACAGCCCTTCCGTAGATTAGTGTTTCAGAAACAACATACCTACATTGTCGATGTCTTCTAATCGTTGTTATTATTAAATAATAATCATATTTGTACCTTTTGCATTGTTTTCTATATAAGTGATATGTAATTCGGATCGGCATTAAAGATGGGTTTCCTTATTTTGAAGAGTCAAATTAAGCAAACTATTTGACCAATCATAAATCCATTAATGTACAGTCTGAATAAACAAAAAATACTTTTTGATCTATCATTGGAATTCTGCAAGAAATTCCCATAATTCTGGACACGCGAGACAAACTGATATTTTTCCAAGTCATAAGAACACCTCTATTTTCTATTCATATAAGTATTAGCATTTTCACTATCGTAAATGAAAATAAGGGAACTCATCTTTAAGGCAAGATGACAAACAGTGGCGTTGGGGGAGGGGGGCATCACGAAATTTCCCCCTATATTCAATAAGATATTAGAAAGTGGAGGGAAGTTTTGGGGGGGGGGGGGGATTAGAAACACCACAGATGACAAACCAAAGACTGGCAAGAGAAACTGTTCGATACCTCCTCATCAGTTCACATCGGGACACAGCAATGTAATAGTATCGTAAAAGTGAAAGATAGGCCTAGGCATGTAGGTTAACATGCCAGTGTCAGGGGCCGTGGAGTATTTGTGCAATGTCGTTTTTAAATTCATAAGTTTCACTAGGGTTTAACATTCAATATCCGGAATTCATTAAAGTACCATTTTAAAGCAACAGATTAGTCAATTAATATCACAAAGCTTCAGATGATATTGCTAAAATGCAATATAACACATATTCTCGGCAAAAACCATCCCACACTATATATAGGTATGTACCTCCCCACGGCACTTGACCCACAACCCAACAATTAACTAGGCCGAACAGGTTACAGTTCAATAAATACCGTAATTGACAAAGATGTTTAATTAATCAAACATTACAAAGTTACTATTATTAGTTAATGAATAGAAAATTGATCGATACGCTACAGGTATTTGAACAGGTATTATAGTATTACGCATGCGCCACATATTTCTTATGGCAACCATCAAAACAACTTTTTCTTCATTGAAGAATTTGATGCACGTGTGGTAACAAGAATTTTGACAGCTTGCACCTTGTGACGTACACCTGCATCACGAGAAGTTAAACCCGATTAACACATAAATTTAATGACAATAAATGGATTAGAAAATTGAAATGGATTATCGTCAACAATCTTAGGAGATATATCACAGTGAATAATTGAAAACGAGGTAAGTTTGGAATAAACGTTTGTAAATAGTGATAAATAGTTATACATTGTTTGATAGTTAAAAGTTTGACTGAAAATTATTCTCTGTACGTTACTGGATGTATTCATTTGTGCATGACAAAATATAAGTTGAATCTGCTTTTGAATTATTTATTCATAACTTTTGGAGTAAAATTATTATTTGTGTATATATTTGATACAGCATAAATAAATACACCTGACATATATTCTCTTTCATTTATGAACTGTATTTTAATGCAATAAATAATTCATATGAATGATCCTTTGTTAATCTTTGAATTAAATTAGAGTGCAAAGTTTAAATCATTTGAAATTATTAATATTGTCTGAGAAAAGTAAAAAGTTTTTTGAAACAGGGCCTAGTTTTTTCTGACCCTACTCCAGTCCATTGAAATTTTCGGATTTAAAAATCTGAGGTTTAGTTTTGTTCTTTGTTTCTAGAAAGAATGTATCAGCCATTAACTACATCTGAAGGTATCAGACGATGTTTTGATTATCCCAGTGGCACACTATCTAGTCATTATAATAAATATGATCATTATGAACCTCGGCCACCTTACTCTTCCAATCATTCAAGACCATCCTCAGGTAAGGGTCATTTAAAAATTCTTATTAGCAATGTGTTGTTAAGTACGTAATACTTGAGATTAAAAACAATTTTATATCTAGAATCTGTGCTTTTGTGGTTTTGAGAGTTTGCCCTATTTTCCACCTATATTATTCTATAGAATATTTCTACAAGATCTATAGACTTGTAAAAAATGTGATATGAAATGACTGCCTTTGATATAATTCTCTCCTTGTATATCGCAATATAACAAATATATAGAAGGATCTTATAGTCCATTTTATTTATTTGTAGCTCCAGTTCATCGCTCTAATTTAACATATACAGTGCCTACGCCACCGAAACGAAATTTATACAACCGATATACAGAGTCAGAAGTTAGTCGAAGAGCTCCATATGCACGTAAGTCATATGTTTCTGGTCTGTCTTCTTGCTAAGGGTGCTTTTATATGGTCTCATATCACTCTCCAACTCTTGGTTAATAAACCATCATCTATCTAAGAATGGGGAATAATGTGAGAATATGTGATAATAAGCCATATCCAAGTCCTATAGAATACTTATGAATTTGCCCTGAATAATAACAATGGAAACCCCCAAGCTGACAAAATCAATCAATGTGACAAAAATGATATTAATCTATTCAAGAAGGAAAAAAAATGGTGGGACCAGGCAATATTTTCTATGTCAATAATAACTATACAGATCATCAATTCCCAGAGAATTCAATTTATTTACTGTTTTTTTTTTAGCTCGAAAATTTAATGCAGTAGTGAACACAACAGCTGGTTTTGCAAAAGTTGAAAACTATGGAAAAGGTTCACCACTGCCATCATATGATCCACTTCATGATGTCCACTTGGTGGATTATTTTGAGAGGAGATTCGGAACTCTTCAATTGGATAATCTACGCAGACGTGTAAGTATTGAGCATTGAACAATTTTTTTGAAATTATTTTTCTGTGAAATGAGTATGAAATGCCTATCAATTCTGAAAGCTTCTGGTTAATTTGTTTTTTGAGATCATTGAAGTAAACATTGATTTTTTTGTGGTCTGGTTATGAAGAGTTGTCAGAAATTTTGTAGCTAAAAGTCTCTCAATCACTAGATTGTTTTCAAGTCTAAAAAGGTGCAGAAAAGCATGATGTAAAATTCCATTATTCATGTTTCCTTATAGAACATGATTAGAAGACTATCTAGACCAGGAAGTTCTCTAAGCAGCAATTCGACTGTTCTAAGAAATAAAAGAAAAGTCAGTGGAGAAGTTTTATATAAAGTAGCAGTAACCACGGGAACCAAGAAAAACTCAGGAACTGATGCTAAGGTACTGTTTCAGATAATTAAGCACTTGCATGCTAGCTTGAGGCATGGGTTGAAATTGTACCAACTTTAGTGATGCAGTTTGGAAGAGCAAACCTGGAAAAGGCCTCTAGTCCAATAATAAATCAAGGCCACTGTACAATAGGTATTGAGATATGTTACAGATTACAATAGGGTAGACCGATTGAACACAAATCTGAGTCAAAAAAATGTTGGTGTACACCAATGGAGTAATTTAAGTAAGTCAATCATCTTTCACTTTCAGATTTATTTGAGGTTAAAAGGAACTAAAGATAAATTGCCGAAACAAAGACTAACTAAGAAAGCTGGTTCAGTTAAAACAAGTAAAGATGTTAATTTTAGATTTGCTAAAGGAACCACACATTGTTTTAAAATAAAGGGACCTGAAATTGGTGATGTTAAGTCTATCATTGTTGAGGTTTGTATATTTCTAGCCTTAATCTTTTTTTAGGGTTGATAAAACCAGACTGGGGCCGTAATTAAGGTTCTTTTTCTATGATGCAAGAAAAGATAATTTTTGAGTGAAGGGTTTATGTTAACTACCTTTTCAGTAATGAATTTTATAATCAAAATTTATTTCTTTATTAATTTTTTTTAAGTCAAAATTTCCATGAGGCATTTGCTTCATTTACCTTTATGTAGTTATTGCACTGCACACAGTATTGTACATTTGGTTTGTTTTCATATTTTGAAACATTGATCTACCTCTTTCATGAAAGCTTTGAACAAATTAAATAATTATTTTTACAGAATGCTGGGTCCAGGAAAGAAGATGCTTGGTTTTTACAAGAAATAGAAATAGTCAATACTAAAACAAAGAAAACGTGGAATTTTATAGCTAACCAATGGCTGTCATTGTATCATGGTGATGGACAATCTACTAGAGAATTATTTGCTCAACGTTCAGGGAAAACGGGTGGGTCATGGTTTGTCTTTTCCTACTTTGTGAATAAACTCTTTCATAGGTCAAGATATACCTTCCGATTTTTTACCGTGTTTTCCACTGTGAGTGATACATTTTAGATGGAATGACAAAAACAAGAATCTATGGATGATTAAGACACTGTCTAGGCAAAATTTCCCTCATTGCACACTGGCGTTGCCAGCACTATCAGGTGCAGAAACATTTTTTTGGGGGCTAAAAATGAGGTAGGCCTATTTCTCTATTTATGTTGTATAAATTAAATGTTCACTCTTTCAGAATATGAGATTCTCACTGTTACTGGTGACCGATCAAATGGTGGAACTAATGCCAATGTATTTTGTACTTTATTTGGAAAATCAGGAATAACAAAAAGGTTTCATTTAAAATCAACAGAAAAGGGACTATTTGAAAGGGGTACTACAGATTCCTTTAGGTTTCCGTCAAACTGTGTTGGCCCTATGAAGAAAATACGCATTGAACATGACAATACTGGAATTGGTGCTGGCTGGTATTTGGAAAGGGTAAGAAAATGACTTAAGTGTTTTGCGTCTGCTTTTCCCTCATTAGTGATTAGAGATACTGTATAGAGGACATCATGGATATGATATTTGGTTAGTATTGAAAAACCAAAATCTTTTGTGCATCATACTGCACCATAAGTTAAAGATCCAGTGACTGTCAGAAATCAATTGAGTATCAGTTAGGATTATTTTGCTGATGTTAAAAATGTGCACATTACATACTTAATAAGGATAGAATGATAATGTGCTGGCTTTTTGGATCTTAAGCAGCTATAGTATTTCTGTCACCAAGAAACAAACCATCTAAGATCTTTATAGAGGGAATTTTTTTTTATCTATGATGAGTTGCATACAATTTATTATTAAATATATGATTAAAGGTTGTAGTAACAGATCTAAAAAATCCACATTGGAAGTATTTCTTTCCTTGTGGACAATGGTTAGCTACAGATGAAGGTGATGGTAGTATTTGTCGAGATTTAGTGGGCAGTAAAGATCCTATGGCAATCAGAAAAGGTAAATCTTTTTTTTAATTTATCGTATGTACCATTTAAGTTTCTCCATCTGCATTTTCATGTTGAAGACTAATGGGAGATAACTCTTACTGTTATTCTCACTTGCCCAATGGGTTTTCACTTGATTTTGCTATCATCAATGTTTTTTGCCATTTCAATCTTTGTTTTTTTTATCTCTTTGAAGACTATGGGAGATAACACCAACAGTTACTATATGAACTTACCTCAATAGCCTTGTTTTATTTCACTAATGAATGCTATCATCCTACCCTAGTCAAGAAAAGTGCAGATAATTTAAATTGACCTCATGGGCTATATCAAGGGAATCTCTGTGCGTGGACTTTATATGAGGAAATGTATTTATTCCACTATATTGGTTATTTCAGCAACAAAATATAAAGTAACAGTATTTACTGGTAATAAAAAAGGAGCAGGAACTGATGCCAATGTTTCTATTATTTTATTTGGAGAGTTCGGAGATTCTGGAGAAAAGAAGTTGTCATCTCGAAAAAACAATTTTGAAAGAAACAAGTAAGTTAGGTAGTGTTAAAGGCACAGGTTCACCATTTTCGGGGAAGTCTTGAATGTATGTAAAAAGTCTTCAGGAATAATAGAAATGTACAAATGCATAATTCCTTTAAAAATATCTCAAAAGAAGAATTTATTCTTTTATTTCTATTTATTTATGTCTTTTCTATATACTGCAGAGTCTCAAGAAAAGATGAGTCGTCTTTATAACTTTCTAACACTCATTACTGAGTAGCTTAGCTAGAAAGTTGCGATTTCTGAGACTAAGCTTCGATTGGTCAACTTGTCCCATTAAGGGAAACATTTTAAATGTGTATATTTATTGCACTATTGTGCAACTTATGATGTTTTCCAATTGTGTTGGATTGGAAACTTGAAAATGTCTGGCTGTAATCTTTGATTAATCTACATGTATCTGTTTTTTTGTGAATTTTTATAAATTTAAGATGAATCTTGGCCATAAATGCATCAAAATATTTTGTAATGTACATACAAACCATTAGGCCTGTCTGTTTAACACATAAAAGTGTCTGAGTGAAGTTTTTTAATGGTAACTAATTCTAATAAACTTCTAATTATGGCTTATCTATGTGCGAATTGGTCAAATATCTGACAATATGCCAAACTATTATTCTATATAAATTAAGCTTAAAGTGCTAAATATTTTTGTATCAGATGATTTCACTCTTTTTATTAGTATAAGAAAATATCTTTTTTAGATTACCAAATAATTATTAGGATTTTCTTCCAAGATGCTTTGTGGTGGGTCTTAAAATTGGAAAAAGTTCAATATTACGTCATTTAGAAGTTGTTTTTTACATTTATAATGTTATATAGTTGTTTGTTGTTTTTCATGATCTTAAAGTGTTATTGTTGAATTCCTAATATGTTTTATAAATTGACTAAGAACTTGCTGAAGACGTTAGCCAGACATAGTTGATGATTGAGATGAACTTAAATGAGTGTGAACAAGATTTAAATGTGATCAAAGATTTTCTTGATGAAAATTCAAAATATATTATTAACATCATGTTGGTTGTTAGTTTAGGTTGATAGATTCTTGTTGGTTGTAAATGTAAACTTCAGGCAATGTCCTAACTTTGACTATGAAATTCAGATTCTAATGCTCAATATTTTCTAACTGAAGGGTAATTTGAAATTCTAATAGAATGTCCCACATATTGTTAAGTGATTTACTTTCACTGTCGAGAGAAAATTATAATGCCAAATTAATTTGAAACTTTGGGTCTGTAGCACATTTGGTTAAAAATTAGAATGATGCCAATTGTTTGATTACTTCGAGTAAATGATTGTCATGGGTTCTAATCTAAGTTTTTCATGTAGAAGTCTTCATCTTAATAAGTCAACTTCCTCGATACTTAAGTCAACGCAGCTGTAAATGATTACAGATAGGAAAAGAAAGATCAATGCTTACAGGTTTGACTAAGGACCGTTGGTAGAAAGGATCCTTTGATTTGTTATCTTGAATGCCCATTCTAATTTTTTAATGTTTATGATTGCAGAGTAGATGAATTCCTATTAGAATGTCCTAAACTAGGAAGATTAGAGAGGATTAGAATAGGACATGATGATACAGGGTTTGGACCAGGCTGGTTTCTTGATAAGGTAAATCTTTCAATTTTATTTTTCACAATTCCACCCTGATACAAGCATGTATTTACAGACTGCACATGAATTAGAATGTGCAAAAGGCAATGTTGCAATGTTGCTTTAGCTTTCAATTTCCTCCTTACATAACCTTTGTGGTCAATGACAACGTAATGAAAGAGCAAGGAAAATAATTTTTTTTCAATATTTCTGCTATCTTGTCTGCTAATTTGGAGCACTCAGATTGCTATCCTATTCCTAATGATTAAAAATGCAAATCAATTTGTGAAGTTGGCCTGCTGGTTCCTGACAGATGTGATAATCAGAATAATACGATCATAGGTAAAAATTATTGGAAATGGCCTACTTCAATTTTATTGTCTTGATGAATAGATCAAGCAAACTTTTTCCATGTGCAAGATTTCTTCTTTCATAACAAATATAAAACTCCACTTAAAACATTGTATGTTGATGGAAATATTGTGCCAAACTTGATTTCACACTTCGCTTCAAGTCTGATTGTTGTACTTGCTTTAAAGTTCATCATCTTAATAATTTATTAAAGGGCGTTACTCTACTAATGTTGATAGATTCTATGAATGATAGAAGGTTGTTTTGACTAGGGAGAGGTTAAGATAACAAAGATATTAAATGGCTACTGAAAACTACTTCATTCAGCCCACCTACAAATGGTTGTTTCTAGCAACAATATCAGTTGTTCTTTGTGATTTCTGATACTTGTAGATCTGTCACTCTGCGTTCAGATCAAAGGCAGAAGTGATGAATTCAATTATGATAAAATTGCCAGATTTTTTTTCTGTAGTTATTTACTTTGTTGGAAAATATTATAACATCATTTTCAACTTCAGGTCTTTTTACTGATGAAATATTTTCTTAAGTTAGAGATGTATAGCAATTTGCTAATTATGAATTGTTTTCATTGAATAAGATATATAATATATCAATCAGATTTTTGAATTTTTTCGAACATGAAAAAAACAGTTTTGTCGTCTTCTTATTGCTAAAGTTCCACATTACCAAGAAATCAATGAATTAACACAGCATCATTCATATATTGTTAATATGATTCTTGGATATAAATCTACATTAATATTAACTGGAAGCGACCATAAACATCCCAACTAACCTTATGTTTTAAAAGTGGAAGGAGATTTAAAACACTTGCAGCAGAACTGTAGGATTTAAATTGAATATTAAAGTTTGAGTGTTCAGACATGACATTAATTTTGGCATCAACTTCTGTTAAAACAAGATAAATTTTGTAATCACAATTAATAATAGATATTGTTTGTTTTATTTATCATAATGTGTATTATATAGACAAACAGTATGATATGATAAATATCTTTCTAACAGCTGGATCATGAATCATTATATTTACACTTGTTATACTGGTATTTAATATGAGTGTACAGTCATACCTAAGATATGTTGGTCAAAGCGAGTGTGCATACTTTTTGAACAGTAATTTGGGGGGCCCCCAAAAAGTCTAAAAATTACTTCCAAAAATGTATCCAAAATCTACAGCTAGAATAATGTATATACTGAATCAATAATAGCTACCATATGGACTCTTAAAATGATTAGAAACTCAGTTACAAAGTGACTTCATGGTTCTCTCTTACGAAACAAGGATACTGCACATAATAATAAATAGCCTTAAGGTGGTGCAGAAGAAAGTCATGTTTGTTTAATTTTCATTTAAAGAGGAAAGAAGAAAAAGAAATTAGATAAGAATATAATTGAAATGTTTATCAAATATGTTTATATACCAGCTGGTCTGTACATGGTTTACACCTCGTTGAAACTGGGTATAAACATCTTAATATGATATATTGATTATATAGCTGATACATTCCTTCCTTTTAAAACTATAGTTCGTGAAAATAATTGAGTGATAAATCTACAGGCTGTTACTCATTTCCTCTAGTCCAACAATTTGAATGTCACACCTATTTTTTAACCTGTTGTCCTAAGGAATTTAATGTCTTTATGTCACTACCTTAAAAAAGGGCTGTTGGTTTATGTTTTTGCCAATGGAGCATTTTTCAATGGCTTGTAAAATATGGCAACAGATCTTTAACAATAGTTTGAGTTTTTTTTAGTGTTTTCTGGAAACACAATGGTTTGAGCTACACTCCTCCATCCGTCTTCTCTTGTCTTTACTCTTCTTATTACAGCCTAAGTTGAGCTTTTATCAAATATATTCCACGCATTCAATTAAAATAATTATAAATCAGACAAGTCAATCTCCAGAATTTCACCATCCCTGCCAGTATCTGACTTCCGATTGTAATAAATTTTATTATAGTGTAGGCTTTTAACATTGACATCTGCATCATTTCTGTTACTACTATTTGAGGTGTTGATGTTACACACTCCTGCTGTCTGCTAGTAAAGTTGTAGTCATGCAGAAAAGTTATTCACAAATGATTACAATTTATTCCTGAGGAATTAGACAAGCTGGCAACACCCAAAAGATTTAAGAGAAATAACCAGGCTTGGATCATTAATGAATTAAAGAAGATGCCTAGTTTACATTTTTTACTACAATACTCAGTTATGTACTTTTAACTAACTGCTAACTAAAATTAGAAACCACAACTACTATTATCCAAACGTAAGCAGGTCAAAGAGTTACTACCAGTCCACTTTGGCAGTAGCTTAGTAGCTAAACGATTTGTGTCCTTTATTGGACAATTCTTATGTTGCATACAAGTGGAATGATTTTGAATACTCTTGTCACAAGTATTTTTTTTATGTTGGTCAAACATTATCTGTATCTGCAAGAAAAATCTGTAGAAAATGTGAAGTATAACTTGTTTTGTTGAGATGTATTCTATGATCATTACATCTTAATTATAATCAGTAAAAATCTTTGAAAAAAAAATATAGGAAGTATATTAAAGATATAATGCATAATCTGTTATCATCATGAAACACAAGACAAGTGAAGGAAAAGGGTTAAAGTGAGAAATAAAATGAGAACAGTAGAGATAGACAGATGGAATTACAGAATAAATAAATAACATGAATGGCAGTTGAAGACGACACACCTAAAACAGTAGTTTTGAATATATATTTCTTCGTTTCATGTTTTAAGAAGAATTGTAACTGTAATACAGAAGTTTGATTAGAGCTAAAGAACATCAGTGTTATTTGTTGCTTGATACAAACTATATTAATAATATAGGATTCTATTTTATACTGAAACCCAGCTCAAATTGAAAAATATTAAACATGAGTTACTGCAATTATTCTTCCAAACAAGTTTGATTTTTAGCTTGTAAACTTTCTAGAATGTTAAGTTCATGAAGATACTTTGTGCAATGGTAAATTATCATCAAGAATGAACCCTATCAAAAACCCAAAAGATCAAAAAAATTCTGCATCAGTCAGCTTACTCATAATTAATGTCCACAGAATGAGGGGTTTAACATACTGCATTTTGATGAATGACCATGGGATTAGTTGTAAGACTTTGTAATTTTAGATTATAATGAAGGAAATCTGAGATACTATATTCTGAACTGTAGATGTTAGGATAGTTTTTGGTAACTAAATCAAACAAAAGTATTTAGATTTTTCATTCATTTTTGTTGAATACATGAAAGAGGTAATGTGTAAAAACAGGATTTGTTATTACAATTGTGACTGAACCTGATATTTCCCAGTGCAGAAGAACTATTCATGAAAGAAATTGTTCTCATGGCTGTTTCGTTGCTTCACTTCAATCTGTTTTTGGGGCTCTTCCAGTTTTCTTTTTTGTTGGTCATGGTTAAAAGGATGGCAAGTGGATTTTGGCAGCAGGTTTTAACTAGTGAAATTATATCCTTTTAAACAGTACTTTGATGTGTTGAAAAGTGGATCATTAACAGTTGGAAGTATGCAAAATGGCCTTGTTCCTCTGACAAATTTTCCTCTTTGTACACCGCATGGTATTGCACACTGCATGGTATTGCACATTGACAATAGCCCAATTGGAAGCAGATGAGCAGGATGTAAAACTCCTGTAAATTCCCACATCTGAAAATTATCAGTTAAACATTGTTATAACCTCAGAGATTGCTATTGTAATGAAAAACACATTTTGATTAAAAAAGAAACTTTTAATGCGTTAAAGGCACTTAGAATATGTACAAAACAAGCTTTGCCTTTCAATTTTCTCATATAGATATTTACAAAGAGTGTTTGTTTTCAACTCAAATTTTAAAAGTTTGCATCCACTTGAGAATTATCAAGGATATGATTTGAATATTCGTTGTGCATATTTTAGCCACATTGAGTTATTTGGTGAATGAAATTTTCCATTCATAGCAGACATTAGGGTGTGGTTAAAACCCAAACTTATTTCAACAGTCAAACTTTGTACTTTGTTTAGATTTAAAATAAAAGGCATTTATGTGGCAATAAAGAAAATCATACAACTTTACTACAAAAGTACAGAAATAATTTTCAAGCATGATCTTAAATCTTAATGGTTTTTACAGCACAGGATTGCTGGTAGTTCAGAGGTTGGAGGGTTTCTGCTGACATGAGAGTCAAGGGTTCGATCCTTGTATAGTTAGAAATGATACTTTGATTGTTTAACACAGCTTACTCTTGTCAGTGATGGGCTGACATTGAAAAAGCATCTACTCGTTCAGATGGAACAATATGCTGACGCCCTGTCTCAAGATCCCTTGACTATGCCACAGTCTTGTCAAAATTGACATTATTGCAAACTGCATGGCATTGCCCATCTTCATTAGCAAAATCATGTGCAAAAAGAGTAGGACATTAAATCACATTTCATTTCTACTCAATAGGTTACATTTACAACTGTGTTCTTAAGAGCTTAAGAGCGTTCAAGACATTTTTGATATGACATTTTATATGATATTAAGATCAGCCTTTGAACTTAAAATCTTATATGAATAGTTCAAATTAAAGATACATTAAGACAGACTCAATTGATAACATAATATAGCATTATAATACAGGTGACCCTGGGGATA